AGCACAAATGTTAGAAGAAGGTACCTTAATTTTGTAAGTAAACCAAAAAGAAATCAGTTGACTAAAAAAAACTGTGCTTTTCCTCTTCTTCTTTGCAGTGGCAAATCTAGGGAGGGACGGAGAAAGGAGAGGAGGGTAAGGGGAGATTTTCCGAGGCCAAATCACGATATTTTAAAAATATACAAAATAAATAAAGTTATGAAGTAACTACTCTTTACAAATTACTGTTAACATTTTTTATTCAGAGGTTTGTACATACACATGAATTCAGCTTATGTGATGCTCAGATTAGATTGATAAAAGTTGAGGGAATCTAACGTCTACTATACTACAGATTTGCGAAAACTAGTTCATGTTTACCGGTGTAAAACGGAGGAAATAGCCGTTGCTTTGCTAAACGTCCGCTTGAAAGATGAATGAAGACCAGTCCATGTGCTCTTAACCAAAACACTTAACGATTACGGATGTAAGTTTAGGGAAAAGGTAACCCTTCACCTCTTTTCCACTCCCTTTCCCTCCCCCTCCCCCCTCTCGGCCTTATTAGTGTTAAAGATATCATGAAATAATGCTTGTCAGCTAAGAGCTAAGGTATTACTAGAAGCAGAATTCTGATTTTGCAAATGTTGAATGGAAGCGAAAAGGAATTGCCTACTTTGCCATGAGCGGAATGGTGCTAGATGTTGGCGGGAGGATCTTCGATACAAGCAACAGAAACACAACAATAGACAGTAAGACGGAAATAGTGAGCGTCATTTTTTCTCCTGCAATATGATCAATTTTCACAAGTCTCAGAGTAATTATAGCTATTCAAGGAAAACGCTAGCCTGAATCAGTCGGCAAAAAGAAAACGGCCATACTCAGGAAAGCCATAAGTACTGTTGGAATAATGAGGACTACAGTGTAGAACAAGGTTTTCCTTCTAAAAAGAATTAATTTGAACAGAATAACAATGAAGGAACAGTAATACCTACCGTATTCTGACTTGAAACTCAATACGGCTACGCTTGTTTACTAATGACGCAGGTGCATCCATCACGTCCCATATAGAAGATGGTGCATATTCGGACAGATCTACCCACTCAGCTTGATCAAACTCAAGTTTGATTTCGTTTTCGTTGTACTGGAAAAGGACTGGATAAACCATGACTAGTGGCATCAGATTATCTTGATTAAGGAACTTACAGTCCACGATCCAAATACTAAGGTGCACACTTGCTCGTCAAATGGGAAAAACTCCACAT